TTGGTATGCTTTATAATTATTTAAATTATGATATTATCATAGTAAATGAAAGATGTTTGTAATGTTAATATGTATGCTTACCAATACCTTTTATTTTCTTTGTTAGCTCTCGCATTTATTACTGTTATTCAAGTAATTAGCCTGCTTGTTAGATATTTTTTACTTGTTCTTGTGATATGTAATTCTGTTTCTTTATTTTTGTTTTCCTCTTGGTTACCAATTGGCTTCGAAAAGTTAAATTGTAACCCTGTAGGCAACAAGGGGAAGAATTTTGACTCGCGCAGTTGGACTATAGCAGGACCCCGGGGGGGGGGATTTTCATTAGCGCAGTTGGAGTACACCCGTTTGGGATTATTCATACAGTATTTGAACTATTATGAAAATAAGTAAAAGAAAAAAATTAATGAAATCATTTTGAATATTGGTATCGTAAATACTACAAAAATTGTGTTTTTGAATCCTAATATAGAAAACTGTAAATGTTGTGATACTGAATATTGTTATATAAAAAATATAAAAAATATATATAAATATAAAAAATGTATTATTATGGTTTATAAAACGGAATAAATTTTTAAAATTTATAATTAATGTAGTTTAAAAGAAAATTACATAAAAAATTACTATGAAATTATTGTGGATGAATTTTGTGCAATAAGTTTGAATTTAAAAAACAGAATATGTTGTAGGGTGTACTAGTTCAGAATCAGATGAGTATATTAAGCTCTGAATAACAGTTCCGTTTGCCTTCTCATACAAAGACATGTTGAAGGCTACCATTTATAAGAATGAATACGATATATATTTTACAGAATTAATTTTTTATTTGAAATGGTATGATGCAGTTCTCAATGTGCCAACTATTTTAAGCAAGGAAGGAAGGCCTTTTCAAGTGCCGATCAAGCGTCTTTGAACCATTGGTAGAATAACTAATATACCAGTCAATTAAAGAGCATAACGTCCTACTTTAGACAGAAATGCTTGTTTTAGAGAATTTGAGGGAATTTTTTTTATATAAAATCAACCAGGAACTGAAAGTGAAAATTAAAGAAAAATGAAAACAAATTTTACAATATCTATAATATTAAAAGGTAAATTATAAATATGAAATTTTGAATGTTATAATTTTTGACAACCCTAAAGAATTATGCTTACTTTCAAAACACTAATACTCAGAATTTACATTCTGCAATAATTTTAAAATTATTATTTAGTTCAAAATATCTTGATGTATGCTTTCCATAACGTATTTCTTTTCTTTTTACTGCTTTAGAGCATTTTATCAAAAGTTTTTTTTTTTTTTTTTTTTTTTTTTTTTTTTATCATTACGCCTTCATCTCTTTGAAGAGATACGGGATGAGCATTAAGATAAAAAGTACGTAAATAAAAATTTGAACTTTAATTTGCAGTGTCTTAACTCTCAATTTTTATTTGAGTACTTCCTCTTTCTGCCCGAAAAGTACTAACTGTTTATAAAAAATCTCTCCAAATTGCACCATTTCAAAATTAATTCATAAGTTATCATATGAACGTTAATAACGTAGTAACGTAGATATTTACATAAAGTTAATAACGTAGATATTTACATCAAGCATCAGTGAGAAAGACATCAAATTTGCAAATCGAAATTTAAAATATTAGCCCATCAAAATAAAGTAAGGCTAAAACCAAATAATTCTGAACTGGCTGTTTACCTTGCACACGTCGTAGAGGTGAATGGAGTTATCATGCCCCCAATCTGAGACACAGTCTGAAACTAGTCAGTTTTCACTGCTCAGTCACTTTCTTTTATAGGCTCTCATCAACTTTCTCGTTATAACGGGATATTACGCTCGTTACAATGGGTAGGTGCCAGCAAAACCATCGTTCAAATGGACTCGAGAAAGGTCAAATTGGATATTTCCGTTGAAATACTATACCCGAAATTTTTGGCGATTACAATACTATTCTTTACTTCGTAAAAAGAAGTGAAAATGTAAAAAATTGTCTAATTAATATCATTCTTGTCAACTAATATATAATTAATATTTATCATGTAATATTTTAATGTCTAATTAATATTTATCATTCTTGGTTCAAAAGAAGAGTTTATTTTTTAATCTGTGAAAATTTCACTCTAAAGTGGATACAATTTAAAATTTTGAAATATTAGACATTGAAAATTTAGATGATGAAATAAAGTAATGAACTTCAAATACTCAATAAAAAAGAGAAATTTCAAATATTCACCCAAAAATCAGAAATAGCGTTAAAATTCCATTAAAATTTCATTAAAAAGAATTTTTTCTCTTTATCTGATTGAACAAACCATAAAAGTCTGAGATTTTTAGTTTGCTCGTTAAACGAAGATATGCGGGAAAAATCATTTCAACATTAAATTTAAAAGACTACAAATCAAGTTTTGAAAAATATCTCTTTATTGCATTACTATTAGTGTTATCCAGAACCTGTGTGCAAAATTCAAGCTGGATAGCGTGTCAGGTAAGCCCTAAGAGAGAAAAAAGAAAAGCTTACAAGAAACGGTAGGAAGGACTATGTGAAATCCGCCAATCAGTTTGATCTTCCACATTCATTAAATGTTAAAGAATAACTTACTTGACCTCCAGTTCAATGTAATGCAGTGTTATTTGATAACAAAATCATTTTGTTATGTAGTTCAGTTTGTAAAGAATGCAAATTATTTTTTTAATTGCACATTTCATAACGGTAGAGCATACGAGAGCTATCTTCTTTAGGCGAACGACTATCTCTGAGGGCGACTTTCTACAAAATCTGACTTTTATGCATGTTACACAAGGAGAAATTTATAAAAGTTAACATGCAACCATCTCGGTTGCTGAGATTTGATCCCGGTCAAACTACTAGAATTCAACAATCCAATGCCCTCGGCCAATATTGGGAAAGTAATTCCCCAATGCCATACATCCTAAATCAGACAGCCTCCCAGTATTTTGCAAAAAATTAACTAATTAACTTTGCAGCCACTCAAGTTTATATAAGTTATACTGAATGAATTTAAAGTACCAAAAGAAATACTATTATTTCTCTATTTTCTCGTTCGATTTATCATCCACGTAGCCTTAGAAAAACTGTTATTACACGTTCAATAACTTTTATTTTATTCTGCATGCAACCTAGCAAACTGTTAGTTTTTAGATGACTTGTCATTAGAGAGGCATAAAATGAGGCATTCGTCTTTGAAATTAAAACTTAACTTCATTAAATTAGTTAATTGAACGATTAAAAACAAACCTTTGTAACATTTATACCTTTCTTTTATTTTAATACTTCTAACAGATGTAATTTACAATATATATAATTCATGTCATTTAAGATATATCTCATTGCTACATTAGCGACATTATTGGCATACAAAACATTCCTAACGTCGGCACAGAATTATCATTTGTCTACCACATATTATACACAGTATTATGCGGTACACAAATGATTATTTGATTCGTATTTTCGTTAACTGACAACTTTTGTTCCCATGCAATAATACATTTTTTCATCATCTGGGAAGATCAAGATTTTTATGTTTCGGTTCATAAAAGTGGTTTAATGTGCAACTCCATATTGCTCTTTGCAAGTAATATCTGAAACTGGGCTTGCATTATCTTTCCACTAGTTGCAAATAATCCTGTGTTACATATTTTTCGTATTAGATAAAAATCTTAAAAAAATTACTTCCATCACTATCGGACACAGAGATTAATCGACAGTGAATTTAGAGTAAAATATCTCTAAAATTATTTCAAAACGTTATATTTGAATTTGTACACTATGTTTCCACACTATATTTGGCAATTTCAAGCATAAAAATTTACACCTTTGTGGGAAAAAATAAGTTTAAAATTGCATGAAATCTATAATTTGTTTCTTAAAATGACACACTTATATAATTGCCTCTTCTTCCAGCTAGTTCCGAAATAAATAGATAAATGAAAGAACCAATTTCTTATACTTGATTTTCATTTGTCTTTGGGTTTTACATGACTACATGAAGTACGCATTAACAGGATTAGCAATAGTTTCTGAGATTTACTTTATTGTTGTTTACTTTAAATTATGTGTGAAATATTACATATATTTCTGTTATACAAAAAAATAATGCATGGATTTTCTACTATTGTTATTATTTACGTATTTATTACGATAAACAACAGGTTTCAGTAATACAAGCATATGTCATGCATACATACAAGCATATGTGTTCATGCATGCATGTATATATATGTAAGTACGTGCGTATGTATGTATTCACATACACATGCGCATACACACCTGAATACATACATACATTTCTGAACCCGGTTCCGATAACAGAAGAGCACCTAAACACCTAAGTGCGCCAACAATTAATTTAGAAAATATTTATATATTTCTTACAAATTTAATAATTATCACGTAAAGACTTAAGATGATATTGAAGATGCAGGCTAAAACTACTTTTTACTCGAAATATAGTTTAAAAAGTATTTGTATACACATTAAGTTTTAAAAAATTAATTTATATGACTAAATATTTTACAAGGGTGCATAATAAAATATTCATTTGGTTAAATATGGAAATAAAAGCCCACACTAATTTCAAATAAAAGGCAATTGTTGAAAATTTAAAATTGCTAAAAATAATCAATCCTTTTTTTAAATGGAAAAATTGTGGAGAGTGACTACGGTTATGTTTGCGCATAAAATGCATATAAAATAACGGAACTTTTCCAAACACCATTACCAGCCTTTGTTTTTTTAGCAAACACACATGTACAGAATCATAACTTCTCTGTAATAGCTATCAAAATATACCATTGCAGCTAGCAATTATATCTGCATGAATTCTGACTATTTATTTTTTCTGTTATTTTAAAAGTTGTAAAAAATATTGATTTCTTCAGTCCATTAGGTTCAACTGTCAGCTTACACACGTTGCTTTCTGGCACACTATCAAGACTGACAATTCTGCAATAATCTTTGATAATAAACTCATAAATTCTTACCTGTAAAAATGGCGTAAAACAAATATCTGAGTCTCCGCATTTGTAGGAAACTGGTCACCTGTTTATGTCGAGCATCGGTTATTAAAATCGTGAAGAACAAAACTTTTGAACGGATCCCGTTTTTTCCGAGATTCACAGCTTCATCAAAATTTGGCAACGTGCCTAAACAAGACACATCCACTATCTTTAGCGATGCGAATGCTCATCTGGATCGCAGCCAACATGGAATCCAAGTGCTGGCTCTAGGGTTGTAATTCGTCTTTCTGTTAACGCCAAAGATTCAAGCAAGTTTCTCGCCAAATAATATGCGTTCGAATTTCTATCTCGGGAATATAATACCCCTCGACCTTTCATTTCCTGTTTATATTATAGTAATGGATGAAAGTAAATTTTGAGCTTTGAAACAATTCGTATAAAAAACCGATTTGTCAAATATTGTGACGAAATATTATTTATAGTATATTAATAAATCTATCCTGCAAATTCCTATAAATATTATAACTACAGCGCATTTTAAAAATGTTTTTGGGCCTTATCATCATTGAAAGTATATTAAGCTCCAAACTTCTCAATGGAATTCTTTGAGTTCTCTATTTTACATTGCTTTAAACTGCTTAAATTCGAGCAACTGATTCAATAATTAGAAGTGCTTTAATTTTTTTATCTGCTTATTGCTAATTATAAATGCTAGTTTGGACTTTTTATACTACTAAAACTTTCTTATAATAAATGGCATTTTATCAAATTTAATAAAAGTAATTTAATTTATAAAATTAAATTTAAGGAAAAACTCCTTATCAATGATTCAATGGCAATTCTTATCAATGTCGTTGATTCAATGAAAGCTTGAAATTCGTCCAGGGTAATATACATCACGTGACATTAAAAAAGTCCCCAGATAATATTCATTCGACGACTAACCACACCTCACAGATCCTTGACTGTCAGGAAATCCAAAAAATATTGCGGCCGAAGAATGACCTAATATTTTTCAAAATATTCTGCCTATGTATGACAGCGCATTATCCTGTAGTAAAATACTCTTTTAGTGTACCTGAAAGATAAAATAATCAACACATGTGCTGCACCACCTCGTGGACATGCCAGCAGAGCATCATTGTGCCCATTATAGATGCTACAACAGGTCAGCTGAAGGCATTCCAAACATTGACTCTACGATAATGAACCTATGTGACGCTCATTATACAGCGGTAGAAAAATCAGCCGATTGCCACTTTACTTTGAACTCTGACAGGATGATCATCATTGCTCAGACAGAATCGAGGTAAACAATAAACATCTTGCTATGCCTTTCGGAATGTTAGGTAGTTGTGCTGCCACATCACTCACACTCTTCACAATAACCGTTTCCATAAAAGTGGAAGCATTAGCAACGTTAGGCGTGACTGCAAACTACCTCAATCAGTTGAAGAAAAATTGTCTGCTTCATACCGGCGTACCCAATTTGCTTCACAAATCCCGAAAAACGTAGTAGTCTGTTGATTGTGGAATCGCAACTGCATGAATTTGTCAATAATTTGTCGATGTGACGTCTATCTAAATACTTCCCATCTCACGACGTAAAATCAGCCGAAGCCTCAAATTAAAAGTGAGTCTGGTATTTTAATTTATTACTTTCTGTTTCTTGTTAATTTAATATAATTTAGTAAATTTTTACCACTTCACATTTTATTTAATTTTCATTATTTATCTTCCCTGATAGTCTTTCATAAGACTCCGACACCTCTAATCTTAGAAATAGGTCCTAGCTATAGGTGATGAAATGTCACATTTCCTACTTCCAACTATCTCAAAACTACTATGGTTGGGATGTGTCATACTGATTTTCTGCCCCAATACTTGCTGTAAAACATCTGAAATTAAATCTCTCTAAATTAAAATATCAGTTAAACTAATAAAAATGCTCTAAATGACAACTCAAAGCCATTGTATGTTTCTTAATTTTTAGTCTGACACAGAAAATATCACAGTAAAGTTCTTGTAACTTTAAAGAAATCATCTGACCTAACTGATTAGCTTTCTCATTTTATTATGCTCCTGTTTATGTTATTGGCCGAAAACTGAAATATTAGCATAATTTGTTGACTTTAGTGTACCTGAAAGATATATAATTTTCTTTATGAAGACGCTCGCTCATTTTTAGTTAAAAAGAAATTTTCAAAATTTCTAAAATCATTCATTTTTATTAAAAATATTTCCTAAAAACTGATAGATGGTATAGAGACATTAACAGACATTACTGCGAAATTCTCTCTTAAAATTTATTATCAGTTCATATTTTAACTTAAAATTAGCTCACTATTAAAGTCATAAATTAAATATAATACGAAAGTGTTCTACCTCAGGCTATTCTGAAAAATAAACATTACGGTTTTCTTTAACAGTTCCTCAACTGGTACAGTTTTAAGATAACAGGCGTTGTCAGTGAATATGCCTGGAATATTGCGTTGCAAATAAACCTAAACGGTGAAGTAATTGCAAAAATCTACAATAATGTTGGAAAGTTTAAGCTTATTTATGAATGGAAAGGCATTAATTCCTCACAAAGAAAATGGTGGTTCTACTGAAAAAGAAATAACGTTATAGGATATTTCAGAAATCATTCTTCAACTGAAAAAGAAATAACATTATAGGATATTTCAGAAATCATTTATTGTGTTCAATAATTTGATAGTTAACAAAAAAATGGAATAATAACTAAATAAAAGACATAATGGACGTTACAGAAGTTTTACATATCAAGCCAATAGAATATCGTAAAGAAGAAAATTAAGATCAGTGCTAAACTTCGAAAGTGAGCAACGATGGAACTGGAACTGATAATGAGATTATAAATCTGCCAAGAGATGGGCACAATTTTGGACGTTTTTGGTTTTTACGAAACTCTACGTAACTGCAAAGGCAATTAAAGTGAATATTTATGGAAAATGTTATCATCTCCAAGAAAAAATCAAAACTCGAGACTAGATTTTAATTAGCATTTATACTATTTAAATTCCTCATTCGCTGCGTACTTTGCAGATATTGCTTTCTCTCATTTTATTGGTATTATTACTTTATCTAACACCTACTGTAGATTTAAAACCTCTGAAGAGAATATGAATTTAACGAGCGTGAATTCACACTCACACTAGCCCGGGCGACCAGTCCTACCAACCTGGCTTCACCTGCCCAACAAGGAGAGTGCCTCAGGTTTCCACAGTTCCTTCAAGTAAGAGACAGACATTTTGCTTGCAGAACTGAAATTAAAGCTGAAACTTGATATAAAGAGGATCCAACAGAATGTTACGAGGGAGCTAAGAGACATTCCAAAAGAAGACGTCCATCTCGCTATTAAACGGCTTGCGTATCGCGCCACCCGATGTGTAACTTCCCAAGGGTTATACGTAGAATACAGAAAACAAATTTACTGCACTCATTTTTTAAATGAGGTCAGTCCTGAAACTTTTTAGCCAATCTTTTTATTGGTCATTTTCCACTTTAGTCAACTCTAGAACCTACTAACCTCTACACCATGAACTGAAAAACCTTTAATTTTGTTAAGTTTACCTAATATAAATCAAAACTTTCTAAACAGGCCAAACAATATCACAAAGATTTTACTTCATTTAACGTTTAGGCAGAGTTAACAAAAGAATTTAAAACAAGGAATATTAAATTGCTTTTACTTTTTTGTAGAAGAAAATACAGCTTTATTTAAAGTGTGAATGATTTTTAAGTGTAAAAACTGAAAATGCCTGTCAATTCCTAAAGTTTAATAGAAAAATTAATATTAAATGTTTCAAATTTGAATCGTAAACTGCGCTTAGCCGTATAAAAAAATTGCAGGTATTTTTATAGAATTATTGTTTAAAACTTTGCTTTAGGATTCAACTATTTATTTTGTAGTTATTATGAAGAAGAAGCTTTAGATTCTGATAAAAATACTCTTTTATGAAACAAGTAGAGCACCTTAAGTATTACAACTAGTGCTTTTTGAAATAGTAATTTTTATTTAGGAATAGTGTAATTAAAATATAATCACGGGATATGATTCAAATTTCCCGCAAATTAAAAGTACTTGATTTTCCAAATTATTTCGCAACATAAAATTTCCCATGAAACTGCAGTAATATTACAATAGAGAGTTAGTTATATACAGCAAGATAAATGGATGCACATAATTGAATATAAAGAAAGAAGAAGCATTTATTTATATTTTATATCAAACAATTATTTCCAAATATCAGATTAACTACGGAAAAATGTATTTCTAAATTGGATAAAATACTTCTTTTAAAATGGCAGAATGCACCAAACACTAAGGTTTCTGAATAAATAATACCGAAACATACATGAAACAATAATGCCTCTCACTTTAACATTTCATGCATCATAAATCATGAATTTTTTTTCTAATACGAGGCATCTAAAAACATGAAATTCGATAGAAACAGCCAAACTGACAAATCGATTTTATTTTTGGTCCTGCAAAGAAAAAATATTGCCTTATTAATAAACTAAAAAATTGGCAGATTGTTAAATACAATTGAATACCAGGTATCTGGACTACTATGACCATACCTTATCCGATTAATTACCAAAATCAGACAATTAGGTTGTCATTTTAGTAAAAACTAAATACGTATTTAATTTTTTTTTTGTGGTTTATAATATTTTATTTCTAGAAAGATCATGCAGTTGAATATAAAAAAAAATGTTTTCATTTCCGTTAAAACTATAGAAAAGCATTTATTTTGATTGTATGAAATCTGTCACCTAAAGCACGAAATTATTTTTCGTTAGCTTGTTTCGCCTTACACATATTCGACCGAGCTGATAACGTCTCTAAACACTAGTAGTCGCTAAACACTAGTAATGTTAAAATCTTGATAACTAGACTAGCTGCATTAGAGTTTTCAAGATTTTTTTTCCATGCGTAATACCAATGGACGAGTGGAAAAGACTGCTGAACACTGGCAATTCGACTCAGATTTAAATTCCGACGAATGAGAAACTGCGTTGAGTATTTTTGTAGTTTCTTTTAAGTATAATAAAAATATGAGAAACTTTGCTTTTGGATTTACAAAAGCATCTCTCCTGTTAGACAAAGGCTCGAGTATGTTTTAAAAACGCATTTCTGTTTCAAGTAAAACAAAACAATATACTTAGTTTTTACTTAAGTAGGCCTTGATATAA